GAGCAGAACTTGATACAACAATATTACTGCTTCTCTGAGGAATGTAGGCTGTACGAGCTGCTGCGATTAATTTGTGCCATCCAGTTTAGGAATCAGCTATATCGGTAGCATCCCTTGCTGCTGCTTTGGCTGCTCTTCGGAATGAGGCGAATGCCTTCTGTGCTGTGAAGGAGGAGCTGGAGGGCTTGGCTGCGACGCTTGGCTTTTGGTGTTGAAATATCGCTGATGTGAAGAGGAAGCTGGGCCTCGAGTCTTAATTACTACATAAAAATCGCACAGCAGTATGTTAAAAACGAGCTTCATAAGAAAAATAATCTCCTATATTTCATTTTAACATGGACTTTTAAAACACTTCTAATGGTTTATTAAAGATGCTGCTGTCAGAAGGTTGGCGATTTCTACTGTTGAAATCAAATGTTTTGCCAAAACTCCCTCTCAACGATGAAAATCCCTCTGAGCCGTCACTGACCTCTCTCCTCCTCTTTACATAAAGAATTGTTCTCTCAAACACTTTTTTTCCCAAGAAACAATTTTTATTACAAATGCATGTCATAATTACATTTAAACTTTTAAAAGGCTAAAATTAATGTTTTTTTTAAGTTTTATTATAAACTTTCTATTGACTTTTTTTTGCAGAGTGTATGCAATTTATGAAATTTATGATGCAGATAGTTTAACATAGTTAATAGTATAATGGATTTGCTGGAGTAGCTAAGGAAGAATAGCCCAAACCTTGAAACTGTGAATTTGTCCTGATGGCTTACGTTTGGCACAAAACCTGCTTATCAGTTGCACTGGCCATGCAGCTGGGCTTGCACAGATTTAATTCTCAATTGCTCGAATACATACAACAGGTTTTGTAACAGCTTAGTGTGTCAAAGTGGTATTTAACAGGTACCTACATGAATCACTGCCAAATGATAATTTGCGTCACTGTTGTAAGATTTTTTTTTTATTCTTCTCCATGCCTATGCAGCAAGATGTAATCGAAAGTTATCTGGGACTTTTTGGTGTCACTGTCACTATAAGCTGAGCTGTTGGTACAACCTGTAATGTGAGGAGGCCAAAAATTCTATTTTTTCCTGATAAATTTGCTAAATTACAACTCTGCAGGGGTGAAAAAAACTGAGACAATGCATGGAGAAACAAGTTTCACCCCCAAAAGTCTGAACTTCATTGGGTTGGGACTTCTATTTCCTCAGTAAAACGAGAGCTGCTTATAGGGACGGCTTTTATGACTAGGGGGAGACAAGTTAGAGCTTGGTTTGAGGAATCAATCGTCCTGCTTTCATGAACATCATCTTTGTTCTTGGTGGGTGTTCTGCTCAAGCCTGACCAAATCACGAGGTGTTTAAGTTTTATTCTGCCCGTGCTCAAGATGTTATAGGAGTTTGACATAAGCTAGCAGAAGGTACACAAGTATATTGTTTCCAGATGTGGAGGTTACTGGATGTAGTATCTGCAAACAAATGAGCTGCTTGGCTCCACGTGTTTTCTGTGGAGACTTTCAGGATGATGATGTCCAGCTCTGTCCTTGTACCTCCCTCCTCATTTGCTGTCTGAGTGGCTGTTCCCTTTGTCCTCGAGCCAGCTGGATAATTTTTGGGCTCTGCTTCAAGCCAAGTTGTATATCTGCAGATCTTCATGTAGCTCAGCGTGGAGCTCTTGCTGAAGCTTGATGCTGGGTTAAGATGGGAGTTGTAATTAAGAAAAGGCTGAATGCTGATTTTTGGCTTTCTTCACTTTGGTAAGAACTGCAGGGCAGTACCTGTTGAACGAGCTTGTTGGCACTGAGGACCCAGCACTGGTGCTGTAATGATTTTGGGAAACCTTAGCCTGCCTATTTCTAGCCCATAGACTAAATGTCCATTTCCCTTTGGCATAGGTCTTCCGATTCAGCTTTAAAAAAAAAAGATACGTTTATATGAATTATGTTACTTGGACTGGTGTACAACACATGCTGAAGCATCTTTAAGCGAGGGTGATTGGGCGAGTTGCTTCAGATGCCATCCTGATCTTCACTAAAACACTCTAGGTGCTGAAATGTGAAGTGAATAGGATGGGATTTGGGAGCCTCTGTTTCTCCTTTGACCTCCTATGTTATCAGCAAGGGATTGTCCTCATTTCCACATGGAAATGAGTAGCTACTTTGGATAGGGAAAGTGGTAGAAATCTGCCCTTTGGATGGAAGCAATAACTGGTAATTGCAATTAGATAGAAGCATGGACTTTGTGGTAGGGGTGCTGGGTTTCGATTTGCTTTAAAATGTAAGGAATCAGATACTCAAAATGCATACTAAGTGAATATTTAGCCTGTGATATCATATGCTTAAAAGTCATGGCAAGCATCAGATGAAGATGATCAATACAGCTGTCATGCAGCCCCGCAGAGGTCACGAACTCTTCCACGTGAGCTCCTTTCCCTGCTGAGAGTGTAAGTCCCTGGCTGCTTTCCACCTCTGTGTCCACCACAGAGTTTTGGTGATATGAAGAAATCATGATAGGAAAATGTCATAAGGATGATCTTCAGTTTTCCTTGCATTTTGCGGTATTTTGGGCCTTATTTATAGGAGTGTTGAATATTCATAAGAGCAGCTGAAGTTATATTTTCGAAGCACAGCTTCAGCTGAAGTTGTGTTAAAAGTATTGACTAAAAAACTAGACACTGTGTCTGAAATCCCACAGCCAAAAGTAGTGGGCATCTATTGCATGCTTTGGGATTTTGTTGTGTAGTCTTCCATGCTGTGGTCAGATCTGCATAAACATGTCTGGGGAGATGTAAGGCTTTGTATTCAGCGTAGGATGCAGATGTAAGTATTTAATGGGCTGTAGGGTGAGGGCAAAGACTTGGCAGTTGTCCATTTGCTGAACGAAGCAGAAACCCTGCTGGTGGAGAACAGAACAGAGCAGCAGAGTATTGCCAGAAGCAGGTACGTGTAAAGGCTGACCTGGAGGTGTGTAGCTTTCAGCTTCTCCTCCTTGCTGTGGTCATTGTAGGAGCCAGGTGATGACTCTTCTTCCCCAGGTCTTGCTGCCCTGCTTTTAGGGGTAATCTCAGAAAGAGGGGCATCGTGAGGCACCAAATTGATCCAGATGCAGCCAACACACTGATTTCTGGGTGGTGTATATCTGCCTCTTCTCCTTGCTTGTGTTCTGTATTTGTCCCAATTTTTTTCTGTCTTCTTCCCCATCCAAGTCCATCAGGAGTGTCAGTTCCTGAGGTCAGGAACATGGTTGCGCTGCAGCACACATAGCATCATTTCTGCATAAATATTCAAAACAAATGTCAGTACTGAGTTCATAGTCAATTACTTTGGCTCCATTTTTTCTTTCTTGCTCTCTCCTTAAAACATCAGTTTGTTCCTTTTTCTCAGGGGCTCATTAAACCTGACTGTTTTGTATGAACCTTTTCAACTAAATCCACAGGCTCATCCCAAGCCGTAAATCTGTTTCATTTGCATCATTACGTATAATGGAGAGAAAACAGGTCAAGTTATGCCCTGACAGGATATTTCCTCTTTCATTTAGGATTTTTCAGATATCGTTAAAAGCATAATGTAAATGTGGGAGTACAAGAATGGATGGCTAAGTGTGTGTAATGGTTTGGTTCAGGGAACATGCTCTTGTTTTTAACAGCCTTGTGTTCCCAGCTTCTTTCCCTGCTAACTCTTGATAGTTTTAGAGTTGTATGGAAAAAGGGGAGTTCTCCTTGAATTTACAAACAGGGCATCTATGAAACTGTTAATGAGTTCTGCAGGTAGCTGGTGTTAATTAATTCCTATTTGAAACACGTACATGGTTGTGCACTGTCACACCTGTACCTGTTCCTGCTTGAAGCCTGGCAGAGAACTGAAGGGCTGGGCCAGCCGTGTTAGGGTGCCAGCGGTGTTCCCTGTGTGGCTGAGGCACCAGTGTTAGCCCTGCTGTCACAAACATAAAAATAGTGTCACTGTTGGGCCCTGTGGAATTCAGATTAAGTGTGTATTTCACTTAAATGACATCAAACAGGCTAAAACTGGTGTGCTGAGGGCTAGCCAAGCATGCTGCATGTGGAAATGAGCTTACGGGCCAAAGCACTGCTCCCCAAGGTCTTGCTTGGGATGCTGCTCTTAGACACCAAGTTGTTAAGCAGTTTTCTAGCAAGGAGAAAATCAGTGGTGTGGGAAATACTCCTTTCTAAATAAAGGAATTCATCCAGCTTTTTGTAGCTTGGGCCAGTTTTGGTAGCAGCTGCTGTATTTCAGGAAATTATTTCTTTGTTGTGTGTTCATACTGTTAAATGTTGTTCAAGGCCACACTCAGAATATTTCTCTTTACTCATCGGTTTGGTGTTTTTAATTCTGCTTTTGCTTTCAGTATCCTAGTGCCTTTAAATAAGTAATATGCAGGAGACTTTGTGTATTCTGGAATAAATGCCCTGAAGGGAGGAGGAATTTCAGCATCCACTCGACTGTAGAGGAAAGCAACGCAGCATGTACCACATCTGCTTGTATACTGCTGGAGTACGCTGCCTTGGGCCTTGCTTCTGCCTAGGCCATGGAAGTGGTCTGCCAGTGATGTGTGTATGTGATATGCATTTCCAAGTTCTGCTAATTTAAAAAAAAAAAAAAAACACACACAAAAAAAAGGGAACAAAAAACCCACCCTACAAATCCGTATTGTTGCATTACTGGGAGAGTATAAGTGATTCCATGGTTGAGAGAAGGCTGGCTTGGTATACAGAAAACCTGCAGGAAAATATTTAGAAGTTACAACTTCTTTTTTTGGTACATGCACAGGTTGCCTGTAAAGGTTTGATGAACCTTTTCTTCTTCATAGCTCATGGGAAGATTGGCTTGTATTTTATGGAGGGTTGGCTCTTAGGAGAAGCTCTGAAGGTGATGTGGTGTGACAAGAGCCACTGGAGAGCTGAAAGTTCTGCAGATTGCTAGTAGTTCATAGATATTTTTGTAAAATTTTAATACACAAGCGTGTGAGAATTTGTTTTTCTCTTTTATACAGGTCAACTTTGTAGTGTGCCAACTGTTTGCCTTGCTCGCGGCTATTTGGTTTCGAACATACCTTCATTCAAGCAAAACTAGCCCGTTTATAAGACACGTTGTTGCAACCCTTTTGGGCCTTTATCTTGCACTTTTTTGTTTTGGATGGTAAGTTGCACTTCATTTCACTTCTCAGGGATTGGTAATTTTATCATTTCTTGGGTGCATCTTTCATATGAAGAATTGTATTAGCTGTGGTTTTTTAGCTGCTGCAAATGTCCAGAAAGGGGCTTAAATTTTGTGATGCAGTGCACGAGTTTTGAAAGACCTGCCATTTGTGAGCTGATAACTAACATAATCTCTTCCTTGGGTTTTGGGTGGATGGGACAGGTGCAGTTTGTTTAATTTTTACCAGTTTTTCTGTAAACTTGCTTGAAAAGTATTTTCTTAAGGCATTGCAAAATGTGATGGCTAAAAATTTCTCTTAAATATGCTCTGCATGAGCTAACTCACTGTGTCCTTTTCTGAATATTGAATATAATCTGACTTTTTGTAGGAAAAGTAACCAGAAATACAGAAAATCTTCTGTGATTGCTGCTTCCATATTTTGATCTTCGTGCAGCGTAGCAAGACAGAAGGATGGTAGGGTTTATAAAGAGAATACTTCTGGTTTAGTAATATTTTCTCTTCAAAATTAGGAAATGGCTCATATCTTCCCAAGTAGTTTTAAGATAAATTAAGAACCAGTTTAGTTCTATTGCACGGTAAACAAATTGCTCTCTTAATTTTAAGTGTATAGAGGGCTTAGATTTATACCGGCTTCTGTAAAATGTTGCTGAACTATGGGAATTAATTCTTTCCCTCAAGCTGGAGTGCAGGTGGGAAGATGCATGCAACATGTGCACGTGTGGCTGTGCACACACCATGTGCGCATAAATAAATCTGGAATTCCAAACCACAGGTTTGGCCTCTACATTGGTACGTTGCAGAGGCTTCCCCACATTAGTTGGTAGATATTACTTTTAAATTTTGGAAAACAAAAATCAGTAACTTTTATTATTTGGATTTATATATGCAATTTACTTGTTTGTATAATTGCATAACTCCCATGCACGTATTAAACTTTTGGTTCTTTTATTCTGCTTTGAGACAGTGATCTGATGTCAAAGACTTACAGCCCTTAGCAGGAAATGAGAAGAAGGATACAGGAGATGTGCTAATGTGTGTGGCTTTCATGAGAGCCATGTAAGCTTTAGAAGCTCGTTCTGTATCCATTGTTTTGGAAACAGAAATCATTAACTGAAGCTTGGAATTAACTGCTACCAAATATTCGTAACTCAAGCTGTGGATGGGAGGCTCGAGAAAGAAAGAAAGAACCTTCGATCCCAACAGACATAAATAAAGATTATGGAAGACTCTCATTGGCAGTATTCCCTAGAAAAGAAACCAGAAAAGTCTTACACTGTGGTAGAGATCCAGGTTATTCTAGTTTGCTCTGTATCATACTTAGAGCAATTATTTTGGCTATGAACTTGTATTTTACTAAATATTTTTCTTTTAATCTTGGAATGAAAGGCTTTTTAAAAAGGCAGAATATAACATAGTTTAAGTGAGATATTAAAAGTACCTACTCTAAAAGGTTGGTATTTGTTTCACCTGTACCAATTCTTTATTTCCCATTGTATATTGAGCAATGTTTTTTGAGGTTTTTATGTTTTGTTTTTTTTTGTAATGCTTGTGATGGTGATGTCGGACAGGAAGAATTTAGGTAGTTATAACATAGATGAGACTCGCTAGTAGTGAATCATGACTGCAAGTGCAGACTGGATCTTATTTTCCATAAAAAGTCATAATTTTCAAGGTCAGTTAATACTGAAGTGGGTTGTCGTCCCTCAGTTCATGTTTAGATTTTGTAGGATTATAGTCGGATAGAACTGGTTGAATTGCTTTGAAGACATTTCCATGTGAATGCATGAGGAGTGAAGTTAGGAAATGGCTGATAAGCTGGGAAAAAAAAAAATCCCACAGTGTCAGTATAACAGAATATTAGCTGCTTTTTAGGCTGCTTTTCATGGGGAAAAATTCCCAAACCAGATCAGTGTGTCACTTGAGCACATGTAAATATGTTACAGAGGCACTGAGTGAGAGGCACCTGAAGTGAGAATCAGCTTACTGAGGACTGTGTTCCTTCATCACTGGCAATGGCTTGCCACAAGTGCTCTGCTAGCTCCTTTAAAATCAATATATGAAAATTATATTTAATTATATTTAAATATGAAAAAAAATAAGCATAAATAGAAAAATGTAGTGAAGAGGTACAAAACGGGTGATAGTGTTGGCCTTATTTGAGATCTGTTGTGGTAAATAGGTAAAAAGATACAAAGCATTCGTGTTATTTATACATGAAACAATGCCAGATGAAAGTATTACGAGACCTAGTCTTTGTATTTTTAAGGATTATTAACGTTTAATGTATTCTTGTTTATCAGCTGGAAAACACTAGCTAAGTCTGTAGTCTTCGTTCATCCATGCTGTGCTAAAGGGGGAAGCTGTCAACAGAAGGGAGGCTTGCAGAAAACCTAAACGGAACTTTTTTTGGAAGAAGCGATGATTTAGATTTTGACAAGTCTTAATTTTACATTAAATAAATAAATACATGTGGTTTATCGTCATTAATAGAAATGCATTGAGTCATTTATTTTTTTCTTCCTAGGTATGCCTTACATTTTGTTATACAAAGTGGAATTTCCTACTATATCATGATCATAATAGGAGTGGAAAATATGCACAAGTAAGTACCCATTCTTTTCAAAAAAGAAAAAAAACTTTTAAAGAAAACTTAACAGTAACATTCTTCTAACCCTGTATATATGCTGTGCTTCTGGTTGTACTGGAACATTCAGGTCTTACAGTGTTTGAATTCTGCTAACTGTGGTTTTATTTCTAGGAGGAAAATGGTTTGTCTGGGTATTTTTTGCCTCCTTTTATAACATCTAAAGCTTGCTACAATTGGCAGTATCCCCACTGAGACTTCCCTTGTGTTCTTAGCACCTGATTTTTTTTTGCCATTACTTAATAATTTTAAATGTCTCACAAATATGAGTTAACTGTCCAAATGAGACTTGATAACATCCAGTGCTAGTAGAAGGAAGATGTCTGAAGGCAATAAAATTTGCATGAGATTTTAAGGTACTATGTGTTTGCCCTCCTCTCTTTCCTTTGTTTTGTAAGAAAAACACAGTGTGAATGCTGTCTTAAGTTAAAAATATTGTCATAAAGTTACATTTATAGGACATTATTGGAGGTTTGCATGAATACATTGGTTAGATTAGCAGTATCTGAATCTACCTGGAACAGAACTTTTTAAAAATCATTCTTAAACCCAAGAAATGCATGTCTGTTATTACTGTATGCATATGTTTTAATATTCCGCTAGTCTGGAGATGAGAACCAAATTAGGTTCCCACTGAGTTAATTCCTGCATAAATGTTTAGCAAATCAGCAAATCCGTGCTTGAACAGGTTCCTGACATGTTAGGAAGCTGTCAGGAAAGATGCTGGTAAAAGAACCAAGAAGGAAAATTGCCTTACACAGAAATTGCAAAGCCAGGGTGGCCTTCGTTTGTGGTCCTGTCTGTCAGAACACTCTGCTTCTTTGTCCTGTTACTGAACATAAGTTTATCATGATTTTTGAAATATACACTGTTAGGTTCATGTTTTCAGGGTTGTCTTCAAAAGTTGACATCCAAACAACTACAGATGTGAGAAAACACTAGTTGATCGGATGGCCAGTTTATTTCCTACTAGTTGCTTTGGTAAGAAGTTGCTCAGAAGCAACTATTGGTATTGATTATACCAATGAAATAGAAGAAAGTCAATTAGAAGCTATATGGCTTAATATTGTGAAAGAAACTATGAATACAGTTAAGTGTTGCAAAGGAGGTCCCAGGCAGGTCTGTTTGGGGCTTTGTTGTGACAAATTACGTATGCCTCTTGTCGAAAGCAATCTTACGGTCATGTACTTGCTAGTAAGAAGAGGCAGGTGGGCATGCGTGTGTTTAATGTTCCTGTGTTGGAATATGGGACCAGCTTGATTCAACCCAAATGGTTCAACTCCATGGCCTGATCTGCTGAAATGATTGTGCTCTGCACAGCTCTGTAGGTATGTCCTCTGTTATTCCTAGCTGCTGCTCATTTGAGGGTAAATTCTAGATTTGCTTACCAGGCTTCTGTTGCTGTATCGCAGTATGAGTCAATTGGATAAAACCGGGAATCTTCTCTTTCAGTGGAGGGAAAAAATGTAACAAATGGAGCAATTTTAGTTACAAAGCAGTTAATTCAAATCAATTGCATCACATGTTACAAGTAGGTTAAAACTAGCTCTACTCCTAAGAATGGTAAGGAAAACAAGTAACTTCTGAAGCAAATAATTTCTTCTGCTTTATGCTGACTAGAGAAATAGGCTTCATTTGAACTGCAATATTTCTGTTTCAAGTAAATATCCAATGAACATCTTTCACCAACCTTATTTTAATGATGCTATCTAATTAAAAGTAAAAAGGATAACACTTATGCTGCATAGTTATGCAAAATACAATATGAAGAGTGATCAGTAAGTCTAGAAATAACACTTGGAGTGCAAGATTGAGAGTATTAAAGTCATTAAAAACAGGTGTTGAAACTAAACTTGAAATATAGTTAGCTTGGGGTCTAGTATTTTTTTATAAGCCCATTCATAGTTAGGCCTTTCAGCTGATTTCTGCTGATACAGCAGAGTGAAGAGAAATTTTAAACATCTGGGAGTGTGGAAACACAATAGTTCTGCTGCTGGCTATTTTCTGGCAGCAGTAGAAAAATTCGACTTCAGCTTCCTGGATTCAAAAAACATATTGATGGTCATGCTGCTAAATAAATAAGACATAGAAGTAGGGCCAGGAGGTGAACTTGAGTGCTGGGCTGTGGGCAGTACCTGTTTGGCACAGCTGTGGCCTCCATCAGCTAGCACTAGGGCAATGCTTGGATGCTGTCTAAGAAACTCCAAGAGCTGCTTCTAGAAGGTAACAAAAAATGGTACAAGGTTTTCTCCCTCAATTGCCAAAGTATTCCAGGAGGAGTGATGTTTTGCGGTATTGATGTGCCTGTACCTTTCTGCTATGAAAATGTTACTCTGACAGCTTTCCAGGACTCACTCTGGTTCTCCAGTCCTGAGGCCCATGAGGTATGGCCCATGTCCTGCTGGTATGCGTGTATTTATCCAGCTATTCACATTACCTGTTCATATATGCCTACTTATTTGAAGTTTGGGGATTTATTTCATAGGTGGTAGAAGGGCCCAGCCACTGCTGGCGGTCCTCGTCAAAGGTTACCTTTGTTCATATCCTTCTTAAACGTAGACCATAAAACATCAAATACCTGTACATAACGTGAATATGGATTCAGATGGTTTTATATTGAAAAAGCACTTTCATATTGTACTAAATATTTTCCTTTGATTATCCAAATTAAATAACTGAAATAAGTTTCCTTCTTTCCCTGCAGATGAGTATATGGATTGGGAAAACCATTATCCCTGTCCATGGGGGAAGGAGTGGGGGAGTTAAAAATAAATAAAAAATGAACACAAAGAAGAAAGGAAACCTTGCCTTTGTGTTAGCAACTTTGGGGATAAGGCTAATGAGTTGAAGGAGATCTGAGACTTGGATTTGTTGTCTTTATACATCAGTCTTAGTTAAAAGAGCATACTCCTGCAAAAGGTGTAAGAGTGACATTAGCTTTCCTGAGCAGCTCAAAAGCTCTTATTTGTATTTGTGACTGAGCTGTGTTAATATTTACTTCTGGTGCTTTCATGGCTCAGTTGTGAAAATGCAAGATTTGTTTAACAAGGTCTCAATTGCAATAAGTTTGCATTTGGTAACTGATATGGTGCTGATGTTTTTTCCTTATAAATTTTTGTTTAATTCTGTGATTGTGAAACTGCAACTTCTCATAGGAGACAAAAGCCCAAATGTCAGAGGGCTTTTCCTTAAAGCATTTGGCTACTGCTGGCTTGGAGTTATGTAAGCAGATCTTGCACAGGTGACTTGATGACAAGCTTTTCAAGGCTTCTAGGCAACTGTTTCTCTTCTGACCTAATTGTTCGTTTTATGGTTGGTAAATAATGTCCCTTGGCCTGTGCAGAAAGGAAAGTCAATTATAGGGCTCACAGTTGCCTCACTGAAGTCAGTAGTTTTCTCAGTCACTTCACTGATAAGACTGAAGTCCCAGCTGTGTCTGTGTAAAAAGTAAATCTGTTCATTTAACATCAGTCCTGTCAAACCTTGTAAATCTGCCCATGTAAAACAAAGCAATGGGTGTGCTATTGGTGGCTGACATGTTCTGCGTTATGCTTGCAGTTGCAGGATGATAATTTTCTTGATCCAGGTCTAGCATTGAACTACTAAAACTTCGGTAGGTAAATTCTGGCTTTAGAAAACAAAATTCATGTAGCTATTGTCTGTCATGTAAGGTGTAAAAAGAAAGTGAATGAAGATGATTACTGGTGGCTAATATTTAATGAGTTTAGTATGTGTGTGCATAGAACTGCTGTTTTTTATAGATACTTCTGGTTTTCCAGAGTTTTTTGTAAAAGCTTTGGACATTTGACTGGTTGTTCCATAGAGCACTTCTGTACATCTTCTTATGAAATACTTTCCTATCAGAATTATGTATAATACTTTTTATATGTCACTTCTGTAGAATACTAGTGATTACTTATTGGAAAGCTATTTTTAAAAGGGGATTTAACCTATTTTAGTTGTTTCTTAGTTCTCTTTTTAGCAGTTAATGTGACTGGGGGCTTCTCTTCTTTGTTTTTGACTAGCTTCAGTAGGTTAAAGTCATTCAGTTATTTTATAGAAGTTGAAGTACTGGCTGCTGGTTGAGGACTGGCATTGTGAGCTCCTAATGGTTTGCCAGAGATATTATCTGTAAATGTTGCGGTGAAGGGATTACAAATAAAGTCAGTGTCCACCAGAGAAATGCAAATAAGTAAACCTAATCATAATAAAGATGTCTTGCAGAAATCTGTCTCCTTAATATGAAGACTATGGTGGAGAAAAACAAGTGTGGTGATTTGAAGGTCTATGAAGACAATGTGTGATACAGATAAAGAATTATTTTTTGTCTTCAGAAGAGGATCTGATGAAGCATCTAATATCAGTCATCACCAAATCAACAAAGTGAAATAATGACCTAATAATAAAGGATTTGAATAAGAAATGCTATCAATTTCTAGTAATAATTTTCAGCAAAACTAGGATTGGAAGCCTGCCAGTATAATCACATTTCTTTGAAGGCATGAGGGCATCCAGAGAACTGTAAGCTATCCGGCATAACTTCTCAGTTAAAGTTTGTAATTTATTTATGTAACTTGAGTGAAATGTCTGCTACATAGGTAGCTGCCGAAGGACAGTGGCCATAGCAGTAAGAATACCTGGATTCAGAATTCGTTGAAGTATTAGCAGCTGCAAGCTGTTCTGCATATACAAACAAAATTTTTGTTTCTGTTTCTACAGTTCTTGTATCATTCAGCCAAAGATAAATTCAAGATGGGTGTGGTGGTGGGAATATCAGACCTACAGGTTTAAGGTTCTGCAACCTTAAATAAAAGAAAAAGCAAGTCCTGTTTGGTCACTGTGAGCAAATTTTGTTGCCTTATCAGATGGATGCTGTATGCGAAACAAACAAAAAGAACCCCTAAAATTCTGTTCTTAGGAAACGTGTATTTGATTAAAAAGCAATTTAAAACTAATTT